GAAGATTAGATCAAAACAAATTTCAAACCTTTTAGACAAATCCATTTCAGAACCTAGGGTTTCCAGAAAAAAAAAACGTGAATCAGTTTGAGTTGGAGAGGCCAAGAGAGGTTTTTGTTCACGAAATTAGGAAGAAGAATAGGGACGTTCAGTGAGAAAGATGAACAAAATTGGAAGAGGAGAACGAAAGGGACAGAGCGGCGCCGCTGTGAGCGAGTGAAGCACAAAACCCTAATTTGCATGTTTCCCCTTAATCAAACGCGTTAAACAGCTTTAGTATAATGGGCCTGCTTTGTCACATATCCCTTGAAGCCCATCTGTTTCACGTTTGCATCCCCCCCCTTTTGTTTACAGCAAAACATCTTTGGGCCTAACACCCATTACATTCCCTTAAGCCCATTTTTTATTTGTTTTTTAATTTAATTTCATTTATTTTTTTTACAATATACTAATAAAACCTAAAACATTTTATTAAGTTAATTTAGTTTTTAGTGATTAGTTTTTTTACCACTTTCTCTTTTTTATAAAAACTCATTTTTTATTATTTTTTACATTTAATAAAATACAAAAAAAAACAATAAATTAGTTTAGTCTCTTTCTTTATTTACATAATTAATAAAATACACAAAAAATATTAATAAGGATTATAATTCAAATCAATTTCTTTTTAGAATAGGTTTTATTTTTATTTTTCCAAGTAAATACATTGCATTTCATACTTTATTGATTTTTTTTTTATTTTCATAAATTGTCATAGCTTTATATTAAATCACACAACAATTCGATTTGGTTGTATTGTTTGATATTTGGACATTGCTATTTTCATTTGATTCATCCCCATTTGTAACAATTGTACCCCCATTCCCGAATACATTTTGTAATAGCGTAGAATTTCAATTCCCGCAATTTACTGTTTTCCATGTACTATATAGTAACTAGGCATGTATGGCAAGATTCAAAATTAATCGCTAGATGTCCTAATCAAAGAATAAAATAACTTGAAACCAACACACTTTCTCACACGTGCACCTCTAGGGTAACCTCTCTCGTTGCCTCAGAAATACAATCATGTCCCTCGAATATGAGACACTCTAGTAAATGACCCTTCGATAAACAAAGATCGTAGACCCTCGATGACCCTCGATGTTGCCTTCGATTAAAACGATCTCGTCCCTTACAAAAATTGCTAAAGCGTCTCACAAGTTGCCTTCAATGATTGTAAAATTGACCCGCGACTGTCCCTTTACATCCAATGGTGGGGCTTCTTACCAAATCAATGGTAAGATAGCACCATTAAAAGGAAGAAGAAAAGAACAATTTAAGACCTTTCGAGTAGATAGATTCGCTCTTAGTTACTCGCTTGCTCACGATAAAACTTTTACACCTACACCTCCATTTCAAAACATTTTCAAAAGACAACATTTTGTATACGTTCTTATATAGACGAGAACCATTGCAAAACCTCTTTTCAAAAAACTTTTCAAAAAACTTTTCAAAACACGACTCACAAACACATCTTTGAACCATTTTTTCGAAACAAAACTTTGTATACGTTCTTATAGAGATGAGAACCATTACAAAGAAATTTTCAAAAACACTTTCAAAACCCACACCACAAGCACACAATCAAACAAAAAGAAAGTGATCTAAACGAGTAACTAAGAGCCCATGGAAAACCATGGATGAAAAGGATACTAATACCTTCCATTTTCATAATCTACCCCCCGAACCCGAGAAAATTCTCGAAAGGTATTTCCTGTGCTTTTTTACCTTTCCTTTTGGATAAAAGAAAAGTCGGTGGTGACTCTTGCTAACCGCACAAGTGCAAACGAAACGCAAAACCTCTAGTCATTTCTCCCACCGTATCACAGACCCATTCTAAATAAGACTCCATATAAATTGTGGAAGAACAAAAAACTCAACATTTCATATTTTCATCCTTATGGATGTGATTGTTTTATTCTGAACACTAAGGAAAATCTTAACAAGTTTGATTCTAAGTCACATAAGTGTTTACTGTTAGGATACTTTGAACGCTCAAAAGACTATAGAGTATATAACACAGAAACATAGATAATTGAGGAATCAATTCATGTTAGATTTAATGATAATCTTAACCCTGAAAAGTCAAAGCTAGTTGAAAAGTATGCATATTTGGAAATCACCTATTCAGGCTCTAGAGGTAAAAAAATATGTTTCTAAAGTACCTGAAATAAAGGATTCTAATGATGTTCAACCAGAAGTTGTTGAAGTTCAGACTCCTCTTAGGAAGCACAAATAAAGATCTTCGCATTCTGATGAATTGATTTTGGGTGACAAGACTGAACCAGTTAGAACCAGATCCTCTTTCAAATCTTCTAAAGAGATGCTTCTGGATTTGGTGTCCCTCATAGAGCCTACATCAGTTGATGAAGATGTTCTAGACACATATTGGGTTTTGGCTATGCAAGAAGAACTTAATCGATTCTCCAGAAATGACGTGTGAGATCTTGTGCCTAGATCCAAAGGAACTCATGTTATTGGAACTAAATGGGTCTTTAGAAACAAACTCAATGAGAAAGAAGAAGTGGAAAGAGACAAGGCTCGACTAGTAGTACAAGTTTATAGTCAGTAAGAAGGTATTGGCTATGCATAAACCTTCTCACCAGTTGTCGGGTTAGAGTCTATTCGTCTTTTAATTTCTTTTATTATTAATCATAACATCATCTTGTATCTGATGGATGTCCAGAGTGCATTTATGAATCTTTACATTACTGAAGAAGTGAACGTACGCCAACCTCTAGGTTTTGAAAATTACAAAAATCCAAATTTTGTTTTCAAACTTAAGTAATCATTGTATGGTCTGAAACAAGCTCCTATAGCATGGTATGAAAGACTAAGAAATTTTCTTTTAGAAAATAGTTTTACCAGAGGAAAGGTTGATACTACTTTATTCTATAAGATATTCAAAAATGAAATTCTAGTAGTTCAAATATATGTTAATGATATTATATTTAGTTCTGCTAATGCTACCTTGTGAATGGAGTTTTCTAAGTCTATACAGGCTAAGTTTGAGATGAGGCTGCTGGGAGAACTAATGTTTTTTCTGGGTATCTAGATTAACCAAAGTCCATAAGAGACATTTATACATCAGAGAAAGTACACCAAAGAACTTCTGAAGAAGTTTGGCATGTCAGAATACAAGACAACCATGACTCTAATGCATCCTACGTGTATTATGAAGAAGGAAAAGGTAAGTACTAAGGTAGATCAAAAGGAATACTGAGGTATGATTGGTTCTCTCTAATACTTAAATTCTTCTAGAACTGACATTCTATTCAGTGTTTTCTTATGTGCTCGCTTCCAATCAGAGATTCTCACTTAACAATTGTTAAGAGGATTTTTAGGTAACTGAAAGGTACTACTAACCTTGGCTTGTATTATAGAAAATCAAAAGAGTACAAGTTAGTAGGTTATTGTGATGCTGACTACGTTGGAGATTAACTAGAGAGAAAAAACACTTATGAAGCTGCCAGTTTTTAGGAGATAACTTAATCTCATGGTTCAACAAGAGGCAATTAACAATTGCATTATCAACTGCAGAAGCAAAATACGTTGTCGTTTCTGGATGCAGCACTCAGATCCTCTAGATGAAAAGCCAACTATAAGATTTTCACATATATGAGAATAATGTTCCTATTCTTTGTGATAATGCTTCTACTATATGTTTATCTAAGAATCCCATTTTACATTCTAGAGCTAAATATATTGAGATTAAATATCACTTTATATGAGACTATATTCATAGAGGAATTTTAAACCTAACATTCATAGATATAAACCATGAATGGGTTGATATCTTTACAAAACCCCTTGTTGAAGATAGATTTGTTTCCATTCGGAAAAACACGAAAATGGTGCTTTGCCTAGAATGAAAAAGATGGAAATCTCAAAATGGTTAATTCTCAGAAATTTACAGTTACATTCTTAGATGTTGTGTGTTTATGAGATGTGAGTCTTCTGGAGTGTGAAGATCTCATGTATCAGAAATGTCCTAGGTCATGATCTTTCCTTCTGGAGATAATTATATCTTCTGTACGGCGGAAGAGTTTACTTCATTAATTATTGTCAAGCAAGCGAAAGGTTTGTGATTCAAATTAAAGACAATTGTCTTTTCTTGAAACACGCTAACACTTGATGTGATTCATTGAGAGAAATTATTTGGATTGGGATTAGGTAAAAATATTTTAACTTTACCCCTTGTTAGAAAGTTTTGCACTTTTCAAAATATTTTAATCACTCTTAAAAACTTTATTCAAAACCACTCACTCACACTTCACACACTTTCGCTACTACCAGTCCTACACTTTCGCTCTTTTAAGCCCTAAAAATCTCTTTGCAACCCAAAAACTCTTGTTTTCCATGGCTCAACAATCTTCATCACATACTCAACAAAAAGAAGTTTCTCAACAACAATAACAAGTTTTTTCTGCTCAACTCGTTCATCATCTCAACAGCAACAACAAGAATAAACGAAAGAAGGAATTCATGAAATATTTCTTTCTACTCATGTTGATGAACTGGAAGTTCTATGTGAAATGATTATAGATTTAGAAAACCTTAAAGCTAATGGTTTTGATTTTACAAGTGAAGTGAAGTTGCAAGGATGGGAAAAGTGCTTCAACAGACTGAAAGGTCTTATTTATCCGGAATTGGTCAAGCAGATTAGGATCTCTGCTCAGGAATCCAAACTTCACATCTCTGCCACTGTTTTGCATCACTAAGAAATCCATTGCCAAGTTGCTTTACCAAAACGAAACTGGCTTTAGATGTTTCAACATTCCTAACAAGAAGGCTCATCTAGCAAAACTAGATACTATCATTTTCAAGATGAGAAGAATTCTCAGTATGTCAAGAACCCTTACCCAAATCTCAGCGTATGGTTCAAGATTATTTTAGGATGCATTAATCATAGACCTGCATCTAACTCACCAAAATTCATCAACACAGATCAAAAGTATATGTTATTTTATCTATGTACTGGTAGAAAGATGAATGACCCTTTTATCCTATTCAACTACTTGAGGAATCTGGTTAGAGAAACCAGATCAGGTGGTTCTAAACATAGGAAATGGATTCCTATGGGTAGAATTATCTTTGACATTCTGATAGAAAGTAAGCTGGTGGAGTCTTTTCAGAAACTCAACATGACTAAGGATATTGCTACATAATTTGGAATGCCCTTCAATGGGAGGAACTTGAAGAACATGTCCTTGATAACAGAGGTAGTGGATCCAAAAGTTAGCACTAAAGAGGAAGTATTTATGACAAGGGTTATTCTGAAAAACTTTCCTTCTTACACTCAGTCGGATAAGTATGAAGATCTGCAGAATTATGTGGATTCCTATATTGCTGCAGGTTCTGGACCTATCCTAGTTGATGACAGACCATATATTCCTTCTGATCCACTCATTAGAAACAAGATAAAGCTAGCTAAAACTAGTGGCCAAGGACCCTCTAGTTCTTTTAAGCTTATCTTTACCATGTCATAAGATTATTGCCATCCCAAATAGAGTTTCCCTACCCTAATCCACTCCTTATGATCAAAATTTCCTTAGAACTGATGTCCGTCCAACACCCATTGATGAATTATTACTTCATTTTGGTGTAAGGCTATGGATTGTTTGCGTTCTTTGACGAATCTAAAACTTTTTGTGAAGATCCTGATGAAAGTAATGCACTATTGAAAGACTTTAGAAGTTACGTTAACTCTAGCTCCAAGGAGTTACAATTCTTTTGCTTCAAGAATTATAAGTGGATCTGTTTTGATAAATTGGTTGGTAGTTTGGAACCTCCTTCTACGATGTTTCTTCTTCCTTCACCAGAAGTTGATCGCTCTTTAAAAACTACTGCTTCTGAATAACTATCTCTCAATCTTCCTGAGAAGGCATCTAGTGTTAAAGAAGGAACTACTTATAAGGAAATGAAGCCCTTTTTTTCTTACTATGAAGAGTTTCCTCCTCTACTAAATCAAACACTAGATGAGATCAGACAAGAAAGTGATATTGTTAGATAGCGTCCGAATTAGCAATATCGAAGATCCTAGAATCAAGCTGCTACAAATTTTATGATCACTCACATACTGCAGGATATCATTTTTATGTTGGAACACCCTTTCTAAACCCCAATGAATATTCGCAAATATTTTTAATAAATAAATCAGAGTATATAACCAATAAGAGTGTAACATATTCATATAAAACTTCACAACAATACATCATGCTCTGTAACACGTGTTTTTAAAATATTTAACAAGATATAATCAACTTTTGAATTCTTCAAATCATGGCAGCGGAAATCATAGTTCAAAACACCTCATTATAGTACTTCATAAAATTAAGTCATAGTTCATAAATCATACTTATAAATCAAAATATCTCGAGTACCACGTAGGGTGACTCAACATCTTAAAACAAAACAAAGAAAAAAGTTCCAAATCAATCGCTCCCAACCCCAATGTTACATATCAAAGCAAGAATCCATTTATTCAACAAAATCAAATAGACGCACTCCTTATCTATCCTCTAATTCTTCTACGGACTATTCTCGATCACCTACGCGTTACCCACGTGGTGGAAACAATGAAGTAGAAAGGGTGAGTAAATCATAATCATTATATAAGACATAAGGAATACACATAGTAAATATGCACATAAGCAAGCCATCACACATTGTTGTACCCAAAAATTTTCCCTCCCATATTTCTCAATACATGTCAAGTGAGGTCCTCAAATTGCTCAAGGAAGTCCAAGGGTTGACCAGACAAACTCTCTCCTAAGGCAGTCTATCTCAAATTAGGGTTTCATTTTGCATCAAGATGCTTGAGTCCAAAGGATCCAAAATACTCACCATTGTCCTAATATGTTCTCAAGATCATCCATGTCAAGTTTCAAGCCTTGTAGATGAAGTTTGCTCAGTCAATTGCCCAAATGCCTAAAAATCAACTGTGCTAGGTCAAAAGGCAACTGTGGCCCACATACAGTCAAACTTCAAGATTTTTGGTCAACATCCTCATTTTGAAGTATTATTCATCATTTGATCAAGGTTGATCATGATTCATCAAGGATTGCTCACAATTCATCAAAACCCAAAAGTTGCAAAATTAGGGTTTTGTATGAAAAGTCAACTCAACTTTGACTAAGCATAACTTTCTCATACTTTATCAAAAATAACCCATCCCAAGCTCATTTTGAAGAGGATACAGCTCCCTACAATTCATCTTCATCTCCCAAGTTCAAAATATGCACTCACAAAAAGATATGAATTTGAACATTATAGGTCATTTTGGAAAGTCAACAAAAACACCTTTTAGGTCAAAGCTTCATACATGAACATGGAAGACTCAATTGAGATGAGACCAAAAGGGTTGCTTAGAAAATATCCTAAGATTTCTAAAAAGTCCAATAAAACCTCTCTATGGTTAAAATTGAGAATGTTATGCATTGACCAAGTTGACCTTTTTTGCAAAATTGCCAAAAGTCAAACATGCTCAAATTTGCATCTTTTGCTAAATGGGCCAAACTTTTTGTGCTTGCATCTCATTCCTAACATAGTCCACGACCTATGGTACCCTCCATGATTTATTTATTCATTTATTTAATTTATTTTGATTTTTATTCATTTAAAATTCAAATAAAATCAAATAAATCCTAATAAATCATATATTGCATTTTAGGGATGATCTTTTGCATTGAAAGAAAATATTATATGCTGTCAAATGAAGATCAAATCGTGCAAAGCCAATTGGGTTGGAAAAGATTGTATTTGAGAAAAATTGGAAAAGAATCATATGCATTGAAAGATCAAATCAAATCTCCATGATGAGTAAGATTGAGGTTGTTTTTTGTTGACCTAATAAGTTGTGCTACATATACAGAAGCAAGCCAAGGCATATAGAGGTTAGAAGAAGTCGTGCAAAGAGAAAACAAAACTCAAAAAAATTCAAGAAAAGTGGTAATCCAATTTCCATATTGGAGACCAGATCGTGCCTTTCTCACATTACCAAGAGGTTGTTAGACGTTCCAGGAGCATATTCTAATCAGATTCAAGCCTTTTCACGCATGGAATTGTAAGATATAGGTATCACGACATGCTTCCAAATTCAAATTCAGTTTTGTTAATTCACTCATCCATTGCATATTTTGATGATATATTCGTGTTTGTCTTTGAGTTTGCAAGCTTTTGATACCATTTAATTGTATTTCTAACGCCTGTACATGGAGTTGCCATAGCTAGGGTTTTGTGTTCTTGAATAGGGATTCGCAGGATAGGCAAAATTGGGCACTGATTCTGGTACCATGAGACTCGTGAGGAGGAAACGAGTTGATTGGTACCAGCCATGGCGATTTATCTTGAACACACATGATGTGGGAATTACACAGGGATATACTTACAGTAAGTGTCTGTAGGTAAAAGTTTGTCACCTAAAACGACATTTCCAGGGAAGAAGGCGATAGCGTGTCATAGCCTGATTGGCTGATTCAAATTCTGGCACGTCATTCTGGCCAGAAACCCGTTGTTCTGATATATATTGTTTGTTTTTATTGTATTAATAAATTAACATCCAGCAAAATTGGTCAGAAGAAGGAAGTCAGAAGCTCCTTGTTCTGGGTTCGATTCCAGGCGTGAGCTTCTGGTATCTTCTCTTTTTGTTTTCATCAGATCTAGCACATGCATCCTTTGAAGCACATCACTTTCTGATCCATTAGCCAGAATCAGACCCAGTGCCTCATCTTCTGAAAAGCAACACTTTTTGGATCTACTAGCCAGGACCAGACCCAGCGTATCCTCCTTCTGGATCCATCAGCCAGAATCAGATCCAACACGTGTACCTTCTGAGGACTATCACTTTCTGGATACACTAGCCAGGACCAGATCCAGTGCACCTCATCCTCTGGACCCTCATTGTGATGCGGTGGGAGAACTGACTTGAGGTTTTGTGTTTGTGTTCACAAATGTTGTGATTTAGCAAGAGTCGCCGCCGACTTTTATTTTATCCAAAAGGAAAGGTAAAAAAGCACAGGAAAGACCTTTGAGATTGTTTCTGGGTTCGGGGGGTAGATTATGAAAAGGGAAGGTGCTAGCACCCTTTTCATCCATGGTTTTCCATGGGCTCTTAGTTACTTGTTTTATATCACTTGCTTTGCTTTTGCAATTGTTTGAAATGGTACTTTGTGTGGTTTTGAAAGTATTTTGAAAAGAGGCCTTTGTTTAGGAAATCTTTGTAATGATTCTCGTTTGTAAGAATGTATACAAAGATGTTTGTCTTTTGAAAAATGTTTCAATGTTTTGAAAGTTATTTGGAAATGTTTTTGAAAGGTGTAACATCTTTGTATACATTCTTACAAACGAGAATCATTACAAAGATTGCCTAAACAAAGGCCTCTTTTCAAAATACTTTCCAAACCACACAAAGCACCATTTCAAACAATTTCAAAAGCAAAGCAAGTTATCTAAAACAAGTAACTAAGAGCCCATGGAAAACCATGGATGAAAAGGGTGCTAGCACCTTCCCTTTTCATAATCTACCCCCCGAACCCAAAAACAATCTCAAAGGTCTTTCCTGTGCTTTTTTACCTTTCCTTTTGGATAAAATAAAAGTCGGTGGAAACTCTTGCTAAACTGCAACATTTGCAAACACAAACGCAAAACCTCAAGTCAGTTCTCCCACCGTATCATAGAACTGACGACTCTGTTGGGGACAATTCTAAAAGTGGGGTTAACTTAGGGTTTTAGATCCCCTTTACTTGCTTATCTTGCTTGACTTGTTTTCTTTACACTTTGGTTCTATTGTTTGGGTTTGAATCCTCTACCCGGATTTGGGAAACATTCATAGGTAAATAGCAATACGTTATGGAAACTGTACGGGGTATACCGACATGGTCTACGCAATAGCTATATTAGTGCGACATATTTGTGGGTACCGGTAGCCTTTGAGTAAATCCAAGAGAATACGGGGCCGCTGAGTGATGTCATGAATCACTAATGGACTTTTAGAACCTTTACTTGACCAACTTGGCCTTTTAGGATGTAGTGAGATGACCGACTTTGGTGCAGTCCGAAGTTGGTAGATACTCGATACTACACTCATTGAGGGTTGGTTCCTTGGAATATTTCGGTCGCTAGTAAAGAGGCTGAATTGAAACAATGAACAAGGAAACAATCCAGTGAT